TTCGTTTGTAATGCACTGTTTTGATTCCCTTCTCATTTCCTTTTAGATAATCTCTTAGTAGCTATCATAGGGACCACAATTAATATCTTGAAATTTATAACAATTTAGTTTGAATTGATACCAACCTTGTCAATAGCATGCAAAAATTATGCTCTTATTCTGCTTTGACCCCTGCCTATGTTGGTTTTCCAAATTGCACCTTTATAAATTGTGTGTATTGTAACATAAATTTGTAATTTTTTTATGAATTTGTCTTTTAAATCATGTAGGAACAAAACAGTAGAGTTACAAATCAAAGATATATAATACTGGCTTTTATATTTTCCTATATAGTTACCTTTATTGGAGATCTTTGTTTCTCTTATGTCTTTGAGTTACTGTCTTATGTCTTTTTGTTTTAACCTAAAGAACTCCCTTTATATTTCTTGTAGGACAGGTCAACTGGTAACAGACTTCCTCAGATTTTGTTTATCTGTAGATATCTTTATTTCTCTATTTCTGAAGCACATTTTGCCAGAATAGAATTTTTGGTTGACAGTTTTCTTCTTTCAGTACTTTGAAGAAATAATACCACTGCTTTCTGGCCACTGTGGTTTCTGAGGAAAAATTGCCTTACAGTCTTACAAAGGTTCCCTTTTATGTGATAAGTCACATTTCAACCTGAAGGGCTCCTTTTATTGGCATTTCTTGCATAGCAGGTCTAGTGGAAATGTACTTTCTCAGCTTATGTTTATGTGGGAATGCCCTCATTATCGAAGGGCATTTTCGCCTGGTATAGGATTCTCAGTTGAGAGGTTTTTTCTTTTCTTTTTTCTTTTTCCTTCTTTTCAGCAATTGAAATATATCAGCACAGTGCCTTCTAGCCTTCAAGGTTTCTGCTGGGAAACTGCTGATAATCTTTGTAAGGATCCCTTGTACCTGGTGAGCTGCTTTTCCCTGGCTGCTTCAGGATTCTCTCTTTGTCATTTTCTTTCAACAGTTTGATTACAGTATGTCTCGGTGGATTTATTTGAGTTTATCCTGCTTAGTTTCTTGAGCTTCTTGGATGTGTAGATTCATGTCTTTCATCAAAGACAATGAAAGGAAGCTTTTAGCCATTCTGCAAATATTCTTTCTACCCCTATTTCTCTCTCTTATTATTCTTCAATACCTGTAATATTTATGTTGGTCAGCTTTATGGTGTCCTATAGGTCCTTTAGGTTCTGTTTACTTTTCTTCAGTCTTTTTTATGCTGATGCTTAGACTTGATAATTTCAATTGTCCTATCTTAAAGTTCATGGATTCTGTTCCACATGCTTACATCTGCAGTTGAACTCCTAGTGAATTTTTTATTTCAGTTATGATACTTTTTAGTTCCAGAATTTCTGTTTGGTGCTTTATTATAATTTCTATCTCTTTATAGATTGATATTCTTACTTGGTTTGCAAATTACTTTCATGGTTTCCTTTAGTTTTTTAGCTTTCTGAGCATATTTAAGACAGTTGATTTAAAGTCTCTGTTTAGGAAGTCCCATGTTTGGCATTACTTAGGAGGGTATTTCTGTCAATTTATATTTTTCCTTTGATTGGGCCATAGGCCATAGTTTCCCTCTTTCTTTGTTTGCTTTGTGAGTTTTTTTTGTTGAAACTGCGCATTTGAATATTATAATGTGACAAGTTTAGAAATCACTTTCTCATTCTTCTCTAAGCTTTGCTCTTCTTGATTATTAAGGTTTCAATCATCCATTTGTTTTTATCAATTTTCCAAATTGTGTTTTGTAGTCTGCATTTCTAGTCATGAGTGGTCACTGAATTCTTTGTTCTTTTTGCTTGTGCTCAGGTAGTGTTTTGACAGACATTTTTCATGGAAGGCCAGGAATAACATAATGACAAAAAGCAAGCAAAGAAAAAAACCTTCTCCCATTCTTTGCAATTTGGCTCTGTTCTGGAACACTTTTTAAACACTTAGCCTGTCCATTTACATCTCTACCTTAGGCTTCACGTCTTGCTTGCACTGAGCATGGAGATCAGCCAGAGGTAAAAACTTAGTCTTTTGAGATCTTTTCTAAGCATGTGTCCTGTCCTGGCCACGTGCATGGCTTTCTAAATTCCCTAATGTACATGGGTTCTTTTGATTGCCCTAATTTTCCAAAGAAACTCTCTCCTCAGCTTTTTTTCTCCCAGAATTTATTTTAGAATGATATTTATCTCTTAGATTTATCTATATTTTACAAACTCCTCTTTCATTGTCTTTCTCTGATTTTTATTTTGTTGTGATTTGTACAATTTTGTACATTTGAAAGATTTGTATAATTTTATATTCCATATCCATTTGTTTTCTAGTAGCCTTCTGAGGGTATTTGTTTTATGTTTTCATAATTAAGGAAATATGAAATTTTAATTTCTGATTATTATCTTTTTTCCTCTTTGATAGATTTTTATAGCAGACTTATTCTCAGTTTATGTTAAAACAAGATTATCTTGAATATCTTTAAAGATCATGTTTATAATTTTTAAAAAAACTCTCTTCTGTTTCTGGTACTTTTTTTTTTCCTTATTCTTCAGTTATTCTATTTGTTCTGGTGGCTGACCTTTATAGCTTTGGTTTTTCCTACCAATTTAGTAATTCTTCATTTTCCTTTCATGTTTTTCCATGAACATCTAGTTTGATTAGCCTAAGTAACTATGGCAAGTTGACTTGATACATAGCGATTCAGATTTGGATGTCTCTTACCATACCCGCTCCCCAAAAGGCTCTCTAGGTGAATGGGTGGGGGATGAACGTGGGAGGACTCTCCAACAGGCATGGCAGAAAGGAAACAGGCAAGCAGGCCCTCTTCAGTTCCTGAAACAGAATGTTGTATCTGAGATCATAGCACTAAAGTCTGTTTCATTAAGGAACTGCCTTAAAAGAAACTATGTGCTCTTATGAAAGATTAAAGTTTTGGGAGTTGTATTTCTTAGACGGTTTCACTTTGGGCAGAACTGTCCATGTTGTCCATACTTTAGAACCGGTTAAAAAAAGTCTCTTGCTTTATAGAGGTGGCTGCTCATCAGCTTTAGTCTTCATTGGCTGCTGGGTCTCCAAAGAGTAGGGGCCACCAAGGTTCCCTGGCAGTCAGTCACTTTGCCAGTCAGTCATCCTACCATCTTTGCAAACCCCTAACCCTTATCGAAGGTTTAGAGCTTGGCTATCTCTGCCTGTGGTTGGAAGCTACCACTTGTGCTTACTTCTGTACTTGTATAAGTTAGAGGCACCATACTTCTAGTTTCTCTTTTCCGATACTATCTACTGATATCCTCTAGGAATTACATAAAATTGTCTTTTTTGGTATATTTTAATATTTTCACATTTATTGTTTATTTTATGTTTCTTCTACTTACATTTTTATGGTCATTAGAGGTAGATGTGTGTTTTAAGTCCACTGTCTTTCAGTGGAAGTTTCAGTTATTTGTGAAACTGTCTCCTCTCTTATTTTTCACTACTCTTTTATCTTCTGGTTCTGTTCTCACATTTTGTTAAATTCATTCTCAGCCTTCATAGCCTAATTTTCTTTTTTCTGTCATCTACTTAAATATTGGTAATCTCTCAAATTCTGTGCTGGCATTTTTCTTTCTTCAATCTTTGTGAATATCTGATCACTCAGGTGGGCCCATTGGCACAGAGTTGCCATTTTCAGCTAAATCTTTATTTTAGTGCTGGACCTCTATCCTGAACTCCAGAATCCTCTTATCTAGTCTTCCAATGGACATGTTCACTTGCATGTTCTGAAGATATTCACAGTGCTGCATGACCACCATTTCTCTCATTATCACTCTGCACCACCCCCATTCTTTCTCCCGGTTGCCTGGATTTGACAGAAGTTTCCAGACCTATTGTTTCCATGCAGACTCTTTGGGAGCAGCTATTCCTCTCTCCCTTTGCTCAGTGAGTTTCCTGTTCCACATTTCCACTGCTGCCCTTAATTTGGACATTCCAGCTCCAGCACTGTTCTTCCGCATAGTCTGCCCTCCACTTTAGGAGCATTTCTTCCTCAGTGAAAACCGCATGGTATAAATGGGACCCAGGTGTGTATTTCCACTTCACCTTCAGCTTCTGCTGTTTTACATCCATGACCTGGGGTGGGTGGAGCAAGGTGGCTATGCCCCAAGGAAGTATGTGAGATAATCCTATATATATCACATACTGTTAGTCCTTTAGCACATGGGAAGAAAATATTAGCGTATCTGTTTACATTTTTATCTAAAAAAAGATTAAAATTAAGCTTTGTAATTTATGAATAAATATAAATAAAACTGGTGGTTTTGCAAAAATTTTACTGATTAGGTGAGTGATAAACATTTGGAAAACACTAACAGGATTAAAGCCAAATATATTCCATAGTCCCCACTCCAAATTCCCCTCCCATGCCTCTGCAGCCTTTATCACAGGTCAGACCTGTTCTCTTGTCCTGTTAGACAGTTCTGTTGACTTGGCACATGTTTTTTCAGGTCTTCTTACCTTTTCTTACGTTTTTGCTACATATTTGCAAAAAAACTAAAGTTTTATCTCTTTAATAAAACCTAAGGTGCTAACACACACTCAGATGAACTTGCACAGAACCCCTTTATGATCCCTGTCTGTGTTGTACATATTTGTGGTGTGGGGTATTTCTAGTTCTATGACAGATATGTCTTTGTATGTTTCCTTATGAGAGGATACGTTCTTCCCTCATAAGGAAGAGTGTTTTATTCAACCTAGAATACCTAGGAACTAAGATAGTTCCATGCATATGTGAGCACTCACATCTTTTTGCATTAAGTGATAAGTTAATTCACTGACATGGTATTTCTACTATGATTTATTTTTTACCCAGAAAGTATAACACAAAACAAGGTTTATAATAGAGGTCCTTTGGAACATTTTCTGACATTTTGTGGTTGATTTTCAACAATAAAAATGGTAAGAATTATTCCTTAAACGCCCTTTTTATGTCACCTGATTGGGACCATTTCAGACTAAGCAGAACTGTGATTTTTCAGAGATCAGTGTCATTCAGGGATGTGACTGTCAGCTTCACCCGGGAGGAGTGGCAGCATCTGGACCCTGCTCAGAGGAACCTGTACAGGGATGTGATGCTGGAGAACTACAGCCACCTCGTCTCGGTGGGTAGGTAGGCATTGTTTCTCATGTAGATAGTATGCATGTCCTTTCTTACTTATAGACACTTGTGGAATTCTTGTAGAATATAATAGTATTTAGGTTAAGATTTAGAGGTCAAGGACAATGTATTCCTTTTGGGTACTAGAAAGAATGTGTTTTCCTCTGCCCCATCACAGGAATAAATGAGCCTTTTTGTGTGTTTGTGTGTACTCTTTGAGGTGTACCGTACTCCTCCTTCAGAGAAACCCACCCAGCTTGTCCCAAGTCATGTAATTCTCATTTGCAGGGTATTGCATCCCTAAACCAGAAGTGATCCTCAAGTTGGAGAAAGGAGAGGAGCCATGGATATTAGAAGAAGAATTCCCAAGCCAGAGCTGCCCAGGTGAGTTAATGAGGATGTACCAGATGGAATTCAGGAGGAAAATAGATCACAAAGGGTTAGTTCAGTGATTAAGACCATTAAAGTGTTCTTCAGGAATCATGTTTTAGAGGCTCCAGGCCTTTGGAAGTAGCATGTTGACATGACTCAAATATCCACTGTCTCTGAATCACTTAGCATCTCTCAGTATCACTCTCATATGTGCATGCTGTCCTTTTTTTTTAATTGTGGTAAAAAATTATATAGAGGTAAGTGTACAACTTAATGAAATTTTACATATGTATACACCCGTGTATCCATATCCATTATTGAGATGAATGTATAGAGTACTTTTCACCACTTCAGAAAACTCCCTGGTGTCCTCTTCCCAGTAAATAACACCCCCCTCTTCTATTACCATAGATCAACTTTACTTGTTTTTAACTTCAGATAAATGTAATCATAGGGTATACACTATATGTATATATACACTATATATGTGTGTATATATTCTCTCTATACTGTATGTATTTATAAACACACACATGCACACACACACGGTCCCCAACTTACAATGATGCAAAAGCAATACACATTCAATAGAAAATGTACTTTGAATTTTGATTCAAAATTCTCTATAATAACTTTATTATAAAATAGGCTTTGTGTTAGATGATTTGCCTAATTGTAGGAAAATGTAGGTGTTCTGAACACGTTTAAAATAGACTAGGCCAAGCTATGATATTCAGTAGGTCAGATGTATTATGCATTTTTAACTTACAATATTTTCAACTAAGGATGGGTTTATCAGGACATAAACCCATTGTAAATCGAGGAACATTTGTGTATATATATAGATTGTGTCTGAGTTCTTTAGCTCAGCAATATGCCTGTGAAATCATTCATGTTGTGTGCTTAGTAGTTTACTGCTTTATATTGCTTTTTATCATTCCATTGTATAACTATACCAGTGTTTACTTGTCCATTCTGTTGCTGAAATATATTTGGGTTGTTTTCAATTTTGGGGTATGTAAAAAACATTGTTATAAGTATTTGTGTGCATGTCTTTGTTTTCCCTTTTATTTTAAGTTGACATGTAATAATTGTACATGTTTCTGGGATACAGAGTGATATTTTGATGCATATATACAGTGTATAATGATCATTAGCATATCTTTCAATTCAAACAGTTATCATTTCTTTTCACTGTGAGCATTCAAAATTCTCTCTTCTAGTTTTTAAAAATAATTTATGATAAATTATAGTTAACCATATTCATCCCCACAGTGCTACAGAACATCAGAACTCATTCCTCCTATCTGTAATTTTGTATCCGTTAACCAACCTATCCCCATCTTCCCCTCCCCCTACTCTTCCCAGCCTATAATACCCACAGTTCTACTCTCTACTTCCATGACATCAAAGGTTTTGTCAGCTCCCACGTATGAGTGAGAACATCTTTCTGTGCCTGATTCATTTTCTTAACTTAATGTTCTCCATGCTCATTCATGTTGCTACTCTTACTGGGGTGAAATGATACCTCATTTTGGTTTTCATTCAATTTCCCTGATGATTAGCGATGTTAAGCATTTTTTCATATGTTTGGCTATTTATATATCTTTTTTCGAGAAATGTCTATTCAGTTTGAGTTCCTTGTATATTCAGTTCCTTTTCCCCTTTTCCCACTTTTCAGTCAGATTATTTTTTTTCCCAATTTCCACAAATAGACACACACATACATGCACACATCTTTATACCTGCTAGGCCTTTTATTAGGATTGCATCGATCATTTTGGGGAGAATTGACATCTTAACAATATTGAGTTTTCTAATCCATGAACATGGTATAACTTTACTTTGGACTCCTTTAATCTCTTTATGGTTCTGTAGTTTTCAGTTTAGAGGTTTTGCGTATTTTTCACTAAATATATTCCTAAGGATTTTATGTTTTTATACCATTTTCGTTCTTACTATTTTACTTTATACTATTTTATTTTCTAGTTACTTATTGCTAGTGTGTAGAAATACAGTTGACATTTGCACATTGGCCTTGTGTCTTACAACCTTGCTTAAATTCACTTATTCTAGCAGGTTTTTTAAATAGAGTTCTTAAAATTTTCTATGTAAACCATTGTGTCCATTGTCTGCAAATATTAATCTTTATACCTTTTTTCTTCATCTTATTGTGCTGTCTAGAAATGCTGGTAAAATATTTTGTACAAGTGATGGGAATTAACATCTTTGTCTTGTTCTTAACCTTAAGACAAACTGCTGTTCAGTATGTTACCATTAATTTTGAGATTAGCTGAAGAATTTCTATAGATGCCCTTTATCATATTGAAGAAATTCCCTTCTATTCTTAATTTGCCAAGATTTTTATTAGTATTGAATTTTGTCAAATGATTTTTATGCATATATTGAGATAATCATATGATTATTCTTATTTATTCTGTTATTAATACTATGGTGAATAATTTTGATTGATTTTCAAACATTAAACCAACTTCATACTCCTGAACTAAACTCCTCTGAATCACAGTGTTGTGCTGTTTTTATGTAGCACTGAATTTGGCTTTTTACTATTTTATTTAGGATTTTTCAGTGTATGTTCATGAGAGATGTCGTATGTTGTAATCTTTTTAGGTTTAGGGTTGAAGGCTGTACAACTCTCATAAGATGAGTTGGGCAGTGTTTCATATTTTTCTATTCTATGGATGATTTTATGTAAGATTATGTTTCTTATTTTAATGTTTGGAAAGGTTCACCATTGAAGCAATTTGGGTCTGAAGTTCTCTCTATGGAGATTTTAAATGTCAGACTGTTAAAAATTTAATATCTATCTTTATTAATATCATTATAAATGTAATGTGAGTTTTCCAGAATAAATCAGATTAATTATTATTTACTTTCAACCAAATAGTAAATGTATGGCTCCCAGGTACCTCAATTTCTTACTTTTAGGGCCATGACACAAAACCAGATACTATCCTGCATATACATACGAAGTCTGTATTGTGAGTGAAGAACACTGATAAAAGGAATCTGGAAGTGTTTATGTAGAAAAGAGGAGTAACTGTTCCCCTCCCTTTAAAAGGAGAGAGTAAAACCTTTGCTTTTTGGGGAAGGATCCTGAGTTCAGGAGAAAAGAAGATCATTGTCTCCAGCTTTACAATTCAGCGATGTCTTGAGGGTTCCAGGTTTCAGTGCCCTCCACCCCCTGCCCCTGAAATGTGAATTATATGTCTGAGAGGTACATCCAGAGTTCTGTCCCTATCTAATGAGTCGTAAATTTCTTTCTAAGTCTCATTTTTTTTTTTTTTTTGAGCGTGGGTCCCAATTTTCAGTTAGACTTGCTCAAAAAATCCTAACTGTGCAGAAACACAAAATTATTTTCTCTAGAGTTCTACAATGCCACTCATTTTATTTCTCCATAGGTGACTTTTGGCCAATTTGTCTGTATACGTGCCATTCCACAGTCGTTTTTCTTTACTCTTTAGTCATAAAGGTCTATCTTTAGAAACTCAAGGGGCTTTCTCTTCTAGTTTTCCTGCCAACCTTTTACCTGGCTCAAAGTATTATCCAAGGTATTGCAGGATACATTAATATTTTGCCCAGACTTTGCCTTCACCTTCAAGAAAGAAAGAGGTCTGTGGCATATTCTGTCATCCATGCAACTCTGGCCAGTCAGTTGAATCTGACTTGAATGCCTTACCAACTGAGGCAGAGTCATGAATCACTTCAACCTGTAACACCAGTTACAGACTCCAGGTCATCTGCTGTCCCCCTGCCTGTGGTATGGGCAATGAATGTCTGGAGGTGTTCCACATGGGAAATGTAAGAGCAGCTATCTCATGGTCAGACCATCCGGTGGGGATGGTAGAAGTAGCAGCCAGTTGGAATGCCAAAGATTCACTGCAGTTTGTAGTTGGGTTAAACAGCCTTGTGGCAGTTTGGGAGAGCAGCAAGAGCACTTCCCTTCTGGGAGGAGGGCTTCAGGATTGGTTCTGAAGGATAAAGAGAATCATTGACCCCTTCCCACACACAAGTTTTAAAGACTTAATTCCCTGGGTGCCAAGGTTTTTGCTTTCCCTCCATTGTGACACAGTGTCAGTGTGTCTCATTGGTAACTGCAGCTTCACATGTTTGCCAGTCAGCCTCTGTGCTTACCCAGACCTTTTATCTGGAAGGCTGGGTACAAGAGAGCCCAAAGCCGTTTAACAGGAAAATATTTTTATACAACTTAAGTGGATTTAAGTCTGACTCACCTAAACCCTTTTTTGGCCAAGCTCTGGCCTGGAGTTGCTGTTAGTGAGCAAAACCCATCATGCCCAGAAGAATGGTCAGAGTGAGATTGCGAACTTTCAGAATAGGTCTATCTGACTCCCCTCCCACCCACACACACACACTCTTTTGTCTTCATCATAGCTAATTAGTAGCCCCAAACCATCCCTTTGCAGGGACAGCTGCATTTAATAATCAGACTACGTTGCTAAGGTGTGTCTATCAAGAAAAAGATGAGGGAAGTAGAAACTGACTCATTCTTGCCCATTGTTAAGGTCAACAGTGGTGAAATATCTCTGGAGAGGGATGTTGAAATTTTGATTTGATTCACTCTCCTAGAAATAGGTGAGCTTGGTTCGCAGATGTTTCGTCCTCTCTCTACCTTGCACCTTCCACGGGAGTCACATCTCAAGAATGCATTTAGCTTCTGTAATCTGAGTTGTGTGGGCTCTTCCATCAGAACAAGCCCTTTGCATGGCGATGAGTGGCCCAGACAGTTCAGCCAGAATCCATGGTGTTTCTGCAGCTCAAAGCATCACAGGGTTATGTTTCAGCCATATCAGAGGCAGAATTTGAAGGCCACAGCAGAGAGCAAGAAGACAGGGAAAACCTCTAACTCCAGTCATTGCAGGAGTAGCTTGCTCAGATGCTGCCTGACCAGCAAGGCCTTTCTTACAGGATTTTCTTTTTAAAAAGTCCTTTTGACTTCTCACTGGTAGATTACAAGTTGATCCACCCCAGAAATGGGGGCAGTAGGCCAGAGAATTATCAACCTCTAATATGTCAGACATCAGATTTTAACAAGAGCTCGTAAGCAAGCTCAACATTACTCTTCTAAAAGGCAACTCCCAAAGTGTATCTCCACCTGGAGACTGCCTCCCTGATCATGCTGTCTCATTTGCATACTGCTCTCCCTTAAGCAAAAATCACTTGAAAGCCACCTCTTTTAGGTTCCTATAACATGGAATACCTAGGTATTGTGACTAATTTTCAATGTAAATCAATGAAATAATCACTTCTGGTGTATAAGGGCATGAGAGAGGAAAATAATAATTAAGGAAAGAGATGGTAAGACCATAAGAAGATACAGTATGACCTGTCTGTTTAATCACAGGAAATGCTTGGAAAAAAAGAATGTAATCACTGCAGTATTAAAATACAATTTGAATAAACAGAAAAGACTTTGCTGAAAATAAAGTAGGAAATACAGAGGTTAGAAATGAGAAACCCTCAGGAGTTTGAGACCAGCCTGAGCAAGAGCGAGACCCCGTCTCTACTAAAAAAAATAGAAAAAAAATTAGCCTGTCAACTAAAAATAGAAACAAAAAATTAGCTGGGCATAGTGGCTCACACCTGTAGTACCAGCTACTAGGGAAGCTGAGGCAGGAGGATCGCTTGAACCCAGGAGGTTGAGGTTGCTGTGAGCTAGGCTGACGCCACTGCACTCACTCTAGACCAGGGCAACAAAGCGAGACTCTGTCTCAAAAAAAAAAAAAAGAAAAGAAAAAGCCTGACTTAAGAGGAAAGAATTTGGAAACAGTACCTGACATAGAATAATGTATTCTTGTTTTTAATTATATATGCTTTATAATTGTTATTACAAACTTCTTTTGCCATGAAAAGCTTGCCCAGTACTTCAGCTCACTTCTCATTCCCTGTTTGTCCATCAAGAAATTTGTTCCTGTGCTCCCTTCAGCAGCACATATACTAAAATTGGAACGATACAGAGAAGATTAGCATGGCCAAAAAATTGAAAAAAAAAAATAGAAATTTGTTCCTGGTCATATAATTAAGATACACAATAGTTTACTAAGACTTCTTTTCCCGCTAGAATTTTGATCCCTCAAAAGAGAAAGGTCTCTGTTTCACTCTTTGATAATCTGGTATTACATATTATTTTGAATTTTACTCGACCAAAGTACCAGATGGGGAGAGTTCTTTTGTAATAATCAAGTCAGAAGGCATTACCACAAATTCCTTCTAAATGACCCTTTTGGCTGGGTCATCAAGCAGATTTTGAGTTGTGAGGTAAACATTGACATGGAGACTGACAAATCTCTTCAATGTTGTCTGTATTGTTTCTTCTTAACAGAAGTAACACATACTTATTTTTAAAGTTATTATTGAATGTGAAAGCCACTCCATATGATCCATGTCATACATACACATCAAGCCCTAAGTTGAACAGGAAACTTACATTGTGGTTTATGTAGACTTGTTAATGACATTTAAACATTTTCATAATAAATTATTATCATTATATTTATTAAATACATTTTTCTATGCATGATTTTTTGGAATTGCTTATTCATTAGCACTTTAACATATTTATCATTATTTACAGAATTTTTTTTTTTTTTTTTGAGACAGCGTCTCACTGTGTTGCCCGGGCTGGAGTGCCGTGGCATCATCCTAGCTCACAGCAAACTCAAACTCCTGGGCTCAAGCGATCCTCCTGCCTCAGCCTCCCGAGTAGCTGGGACTACAGGCGTGCGCCACCATGCCTGGCTAATTTTTTCTATATATTTTTAGTTGTCCAATTAATTTCTTTCTAATTTTAGTAGAGACGGGGTCTTGCTCTTGCTCAGGCTGGTTTCGAACTCCTGAGCTCAAACAATCCGCCCGCCTCGGCCTCCCAGAGAGCTAGGATTATAGACGTGAGCCACCACGCCCGGCCTATTTACAGAATTATTTTAAAAGAAATTATAGATGTTCAACGAGTAACTATTTCAGTGTGGAGCCTAAAAAAAATTTTAGTTTGAGACCAGCCTGAGCAAGAGCGAGACCCCGTCTCTACTAAAAAAAATAGAAAAAAAATTAGCCAGTCAACTAAAAATAGAAAAAGCTTTGAGAAAGCTCTCCAGGTAATATCGATAAATATCATTTGTTAAATACAATTGATTTAATATCTATGTAGAGTGTTGAGAGGAAATCATAGGTAGAATAATAGCTGCCAGTAACATAGTTGGGGGAATGAAAACAGCTTCATGAAATATTTTAAAATTCAGTGTTTAACAAAGGATATTGTTATAGCATTACAACTATTTGTGTTAAAATGAATTACATGAATAGTCCTTTCAAGTTTTGTAGTAAATGAAGCTGAAAGTGATGGGGAGATTTGGGAATGAAGCTTTTTAAAAACATTATTAGACTGTAAGCTGACAATGAAAAAACAATCAGTATAAGATTATGGATGAGAATGAATAATTTATGAGGGGAAAACAGCTGGGGTTACCCAGAGAAAAATATATTCATTCTACAATTCTGAAATGACGGCTTTATTATAATCTGAATCCAGATGTAAAGATACGCTTCCCTCAATGATACCTTTAAAAAAATGTGTTTGTTCTTTTTACTCAGGACAGTACAGTATTGAGGTTACCTTGGGGGTAAAAATAGGCATGCATAACCAAAAAATCTTAAGGTAAAAGTGAATGAAAGTTCTAGGACTAGGTTTACAATTCCTTAAGGTTTTCACGGTATCCAGAGATGTGGAAACAAAGATATCAGAGCAGGGTTGAGGATATTAAATCGGGTGAGATTTGTTTGGGGGAGAGTTAGAGGGAATTAAAACAGGATTTGTTTATCAGGAGAGCTCTCCTTTTTTTTTTTTGAGAGTCTCTCTGTTGCCCTGGTTAGAGTGCAGTGATGTCATCACAGCTCACTGTAACCTCAAACTCCTGGGCTCAGGTCATCCTGCCTCAGCCTTCCGAGTAGCTGGGACTATCAGCTAATTTTTCTATTTTTTGTAGAGATGGGTCTTGCTCAGGCTGGTCTTGAACTCCTAGCCTGAAACAGTCCTCCCACCTCAGCCTTCCAAAGTGCTAGAATTACAGATGTGAGTCACTGCACCCAGGCAAGAGCTCCACTATTGAATAACTGATGGAATAAAGGAAAAAAATACCATAACCAGAGTAGAATCATAAATCTGATCCTGCGGCAAGGATGTCTTGTCCACTCATTGATTTTATTCTTAATGTTGCATGCTTTTATTCTCAGTGAATCAGAGCTAGAAACAGAGCCTGGATTATAGGACTGTACCTTTATGAATTAGAGCTCTTGGAAATTAGATTTGTTGCTGCTATGTGCAATTTAAAAAAAGGATAAGACTGGAAGTGTATACACTGTTATCATAGTCTAGGCATGAGGAGATAATGGCCTAAGCTGATCCACACCTTCAAACTTAATGCTAACTCTATTTCTCTCACATATCCTTATCAACTAATCTTCCTTGTCACTCTATTTATATTTCAGAATTAATTAATTCCAGTAGAAACTATTCAAGAAAGTCCAATGAGTTTAACAAAGGTAGAAAATGGCTCCATGATGATAAACATGAAAGAATTCATTCTGAAGAGAAATCTTATGAATATAATAAAAATGGGAATGGCTTCTGTCTTAATGAATTCCTTGTTCAGCGTCAGAAAATCCAAATTTTGGAGCAACCTTTTGAATACAATGAATGTAGGCAAACTTTCTCTGAGAATTCACTCTTCCTTACATATAAGAGAGCTTACATGGGACAGAAAACCTGCAAATGTACAGAATGTGGGAAAACCTTCTGTGATATGTCATCTCTCATCACTCATCAGCGAAATGAATGTGGAGAAAATTTCTTAGAGGAATCCATTCTCTTTGAACATCAGAGTGTTTACCCTTTCAGCCAGAAATCAAATCTCACTGCAATGCAGAAAACCCACTCAATTCACAATATAATTGAATATAATGAATGTGAAAGCTTTTTCAGTGAAAAGTTAGCCCTTGGTGTACAACGGATAAAACATCCAGGAGAAAAATCCTATGAATGTCACGAATGTGGAAAAACTTTCAACCAGAAGGCAGCCCACACAAGACATCAGAGAAAACACACAGGGAAGAAATCCTATGAATGTCAGGAATGTGGAAAAACCTTTTACAAGAATTCAGACCTCATTAAACATCACAGAATTCACACAGGAGAGAAGCCTTATAGATGTCATGAATGTGGAAAATCCTTCAGTGAAAAGTCAACCCTCACTCAACATTGGAGAACACACACAGGAGAGAAGCCATATGAGTGCCATGAATGTGGGAAAACCTTCTCATTTAAGTCAGTCCTTACTGTACATCAGAAAACACACACAGGAGAGAAGCCCTATGACTGCCATGAATGTGGGAAAGCCTTTCTCAGAAAATCTGACCTCATTAAACATCAAAGAACTCACACAGGGGAAAAACCTTATGAATGTACTGAATGTGGGAAATCTTTCTCCGAGAAGTCAACACTTACTAAACATCTAAGAACTCACACGGGTGAGAAACCCTATGAATGTATTCAATGCGGAAAATTTTTCTGCTACTACTCAGGTTTCACAGAACACCTGAGAAGACACACAGGGGAGAAACCTTTTGGATGTAATGAATGTGGGAAAACCTTCCGTCAGAAGTCAGCCCTAATTGTTCATCAGAGAACTCACATAAGACAGAAACCCTATGGATGTAATGAATGTGGAAAATCATTCTGTGTGAAGTCAAAACTCATTGCACATCATAGAACACACACAGGGGAGAAACCTTATGAATGTAATGTTTGTGGGAAATTATTCCATGTTAAGTCAAAACTCACTGTACATCAGAGAAGACACTTGGGGAGAAACCATATAAATAAATGTAAGTGAGGGCAATCACTCTTAGTGAAGTCAGAACTTTGTAGAAGGGAGAACACAATGGGTGAGAAAATTCTAATATAATGATACTGAGAACACCTTTGGCCTGAAGTTAGTTCTTATAGCAAAGAAGAGAACTGAAAGGAGTAAAACAATATGAAGAAGTAGAATGTAGGAAAACTTGGAATTTGGACATTATATCACAAAACCCAGAAAGTGAGAAAAAAAAATCACACTAGTGAATCAATATAGAGAATTTTTAGTCCAAAGCCACTTGTCACTAAATATCAGAGAGTTCACACAGGGTAGAAGCTTTGGTCACCATCCCTGGTGAAGAGAAGGCTTTATCCGCAGGCCAGAGAAAATGCACAAACTGTAGGAAACTATAGGAAAGTATTTACTATGAGGTGATATTTTATTGGACATATGTACTAAGAAGCAGTTTCTCCATGAACATTAGATAGTAGGTACTAGAGAAAGTATTTTTAACTGTAATCAGTCTGTAGAAGCTTTAAGTTAAAATCTAAATTTAGTATACACCATACATATTAAGTATGGAGGTTTTAAAAAGCACAAATAGATTGTGCTACTGGGTAGGATATAGTGTTTTGTAGTGGACCAATGCACCCACTGGGAACAACTAGAAAATTAAATGTCACACACACACACAAATCTATTTAAATGCAACTTTTTACTGTAGAAGCAAGGAAAACTAGAGTGGCAGAATTATGTAAAGTGATAAATTACAGAAAGTACATGGGGTATATTCAGCTATTTTCCCTGGGATCACTTGCCAGTTTTGCGTATAGGGAAGAACCTGAATGGTGAGCTTGGCTCAGTTAAAGGACCATAGTTTGGGGGTGAGGACCAGTAACCAGCAGAGCTTTTGGCAATACAGACTGAAGTGAAAAAAACTGAAACATTAGGGACTTCGAGAACATAGCCATTTTCTCAAGAAATTTCCAAAAGTTGGACACTGCATAAGATAATAGCCCCAAAACCGAATCTGAATAACAGTAGATTTTTTTGTTTTGCCTTTTTAAGTACGGAGAAAAAGTGATTAGAATTCAGGAAGTGCCAGTAGGGTGGTCCTTTGGTGAACATGCCATCATCAGTTACAGCCTTGTAGAAACAAGGTCATACCAAAAGTAGATTGTGCTTTATCACAACAGCAAACAATACCTGAGTGATAGTAGAAAACCTACCTATAAAGAAAACTCTGGAAAGAGATGGCTTCACCACAGTTATTTAAGAAAAAAAGAATAATAGGCTTTTATAAACTTTTCTAGAGAATGGAAGATGGAACTTTTGTAATTCATGTTTTGAGGCCAGTACAACCTTGATACCAAAACCTGGAAAAGCCATTACAAGAAATAAAGTTACAGACCAATGTCTCATAGATTTAGATGCAGAATCCTAAAATTGAAAAAACAAAATCCAACCATATCTATGAACCATATTGTGACCAAGTAAATGTATATTAGGACAACCAAAGGATGATTTACTACTAAAAAAAAAAAATCAACGTGGCCTTATAGTCCCCTTTTCTCTTTCATGTTTCTCTCCTGCCTTCCTCCCCGTCTCCCCCGCCCCAAAGCAGAGAAGTCAGAACAAGCCTGCCATGGGAGATGAGAGGTGTCATGGTGATGTGCCTGCAGGCACCGAGAGTGCTGAGGGTGAGGTGTGGAAGTGGCAGGAGGAGGAAATGGTCAGAATTGTTGAGACATTGGTAACGTTGAACAGTTTTCAAATTTACCATATGTCATACATGTTTGATCAAAGTTTCTTGGATATGGCTAATGTATTGTATTACGTCTTTAAGAACAGAGATGGAGTTATCCAGAACGCATCTGTGGAATGCCATTTTTTCTGATGATATGAATTCCCTTGATATACAGGAGAGGTCCAAACACTTTTCTTTTCCTTTTTTTTTTCTTTTTTCTTTCTTTCTTTCTTTTTTTTTTTTTTTTCAATTAATAGACTTAATTTTCAGAGCAGTATTAGTTTCATAGAAAAATAGCAGAAATCATAGGATCTAAGCCATGGACTTCCCATATACCCTCTCTCTCTCCCCACACAGTTTCCTTTATTACTAACATTTTACATTAGCATGGTATTAGGTTTTTAAGTATGAAGTGTCCAATTTCCTTAATTACTAAGTTTGACAGTTGATATCTCTGACATTTCACTTTGACACTTTTTGTTTTATGTTTATTGTGAAGATGCATCCTCATTCTTTGCAGCACACCTTTTGGCTTGTAATTATCTTTCAATTTTTTTTTAGAGCAATTTTTGTGAAAACATGGGTGAGTCAAAAATTCATGTTATTTTTTAATATGAGTTCCATCGTGGAACCAGAACAGCACAGACAGCTTGAAATATCAATGAAGTGTTCAGGAAGGATGTGGCTAATGAGTACACAGTACATGGATGGTTTGAGAAGTTCCATTTTGCTGATTTTTAATCTTGAAAATGAGCCACGTGGGTGACCGGAGACCAACGTGTGGATAATGATGAGTTAAAAGCTGTAGTGGAAGCAAATCCATCTCAACCTACATGTGAATTAGCAGCAAGGTTTGACATTACTATTCCAACAGTATCGGACCATTTGAAACAAATCGGCAAGGTAAAGAAGCTGGATAGATACATGCGGCATGAGTTAAACGAGCTTCAGAAGATAATTCGTCTTGAAGCTTGCCTTTGCTGTCACAACATAAAGGCAAACCATTTCTACACTGTATTGTTACACGTGATGAAAAATGTATTCTTTTTGACTTTCCAAAGCATTCAGGACAATGGTTGGATAAAGGTGAAGTGCCGAAACATGGCCCCAAAAGGAATATTCATCAAAAAATGCTAATGGTGTCTGCTTGGTGTTCCAGTGCTGGTACTATCCACTACAGCTTCATGAAATCTGGTCAATTGATTACAGTGGATGTCTACTGCAGCCCATCGGACAAAATGATGAGATGCTTTTGATTAAGCAGCCAAGATTGGTCAATGGGGACAGGCCAATTCTTTTGCAAGACTACGCTCAACACATATTACACAAACACTGTTCAAACTATAGAGGCTGGACTGGGAAACCTTGTCATCCACAGTGTTCACCAGACCTTGCGCGAACTGACTACTACCTTGTCCAGTTTTTGGACCACTTCTTACAAGGAAAAATATTCAGTTCTCAACAAGCTATGGAAAACGCCTTTCACGATTCATCACCATTAGATCTCCAGGCTTCTCTGCTGGTATAAACAAGTTACTGTTAAGATGGCAAAACTGTGTTTACAGTTTAGGCGCATACTTTGATCAATTGTACTGCTTCTTGTTTGAGATACGATAAACTAAACTTTTGATTTGAAATCAGACATTTCATATTTAATGACCTAATACATTTGTTTTAAGTGATAAGGCAATGTAGATATCTTACTAGTCTTAGGTAGATATCTAACTTTGGTAGATATCTTACCAAAGTCTATGGTTTGTGTTATTGTCTATTCTTTGTGTCGTACATTCCATGAGCTCTGAGAAATGCACCACTATAGTATCCTTCAGAATAGTTTTACAGCCCCCAAAACCCCTTATGTTCCATTACATTCCTCCCCCTCC